TAGTTCTTTGCATAGTATGCATATTTTACATACTTAATAAAACCTCATTGAATTATATTAACGTGAGCTTTGATACCCTTAACATTTCGGAATATATTGTTATGCATAGTGGTTCACATTAACTACAATAATGTGTGGTTCTGTTTTGCTCTTTGAGCTCTGGTTGTCTCCTTAATTCCCTCTCATTTAGCTTGCTATCTTCCCATACCATGGTGGTGTATCTAAGCTCTTTATTCTTTCAGAAGACTTCTTAGGAAACCTGGCAAAAAGTTCTAGAACTAGAAGAGGATGTTTTTAATTTTCCTATTGTTTATAAGGTCATTAATGATTTATTAGTAAATGTAGGTGATCTGTTTAATGGGTATTTATTGAATATCAAAAATATCTCTAGGTACTAAAATTTCCCCGGGGAAAACACAAATGAACAAGACCTCTTCCCTGTGAACATCATGGTCTAGTCAAAAGCCAGACTTTTCTTGAAGGACAGATCGAAAATAGTCATTTGGATAAATAAATATATGGTACTTTAGGTAATAACACATGGTACAGAGAAAACAAACAAGGTAATAGGTTTAATAGTGAGGGGATTCTTCCTAGATATTCCGATAATGGAAGGCCTTATTGAGCAGTTGGTGACTTGAGTAAAACTGGATGAGCTTATGATTAAAAAGCTTGTCTTTAGAAAAATCCAACAGTGGTAAAGTTATTCATCTTTTCACAAGGTATTCATTTGATTTGGATCTTATGTTTGTTGGTTTTTAAGGGTAAGGAATAGGTGAGTTCCCCAGGTGATCCTGCATGCCTCCTTTGAGATGTACTGCTCTCCTGAGTAGGAAGTGACATTGATGTTTCTCTCTATAGATCTTTGTTTGTATTTTTGCTAAAGCCTCCTAGCCCGTAGTTGGCAAACTCATTAGTCAACTGACCAAATATCCACAGTATGATTGAAATTTCTTTTGAGAGCCAAATTTTTTTAAGCTTAAACTTCTTCTAACGCCACTTCTTCAAAATAGACTCGCCAGGCTGTGGTATTTTGTGGAAGAATCACACTCAAAGGACCAAAGAGCCGCATGTGGCTTGCAAGCCACAGTTTGCTGACCATGGTCCTAGCCTATTTCATAAGCACATGCTCTTTGAATAATGACAAAAGTTGTTTTGGGGAAGATGATAGCTAGTTTTATCCCCAAATTTTTCACAATAGTTATAACAAATAACTAAATTATCCCCCTTTTGAAATATGTAAAGTGTGATTATATGGTTTATAATGATTTAACAAACATATAATTACTAGTATATGAATAAAGATAGTCAAATTATTTGCTTAAGATCTGAATAATTACAAGATGGCTAAAAATGTTGTATAAAGCAAAAATATGTCCAGAAAGATATGGTATGTCCATGATTCTGGTTTGAATCTGATTTTTCACACTTTCTAATTTTTATTTTATTTTTAGAAACAGTAAAAAGTCACCTCAGAGTCTAGTCAGTAAACTATATAATGAAAGTAGTATAACCTAATAGTGGATGTCCCTATCTAGCCTCATATTAAAACATAATCAAACTAATTTTCTCATATAGCTGACACTTCATTGATTAGTTAGAAAACATAAATTTGTCTGGAGGCACACTGAACTTTGGTGGCCGAAGTAGAATGCAAATTCCCAGCATCCATTTCCTACTTAGTTCCTGGTAATTTTTAAAAGAGAATGAGCCCTGGCCCAGTAATTCAGTTGGTTAGAGCATCGTCCTAGTATGTCAAGATTGTGGGTTTGATTCCCGTAAGGGCACATACAAGAATCATCAATGAATGCATAAATAAGTGGAGCAATAAATTGATGTTTTTCTCTCTTGCTCTCCTCATTCTCGCTTTCTCTCTCTCTCTCTCTCTCTCTCTCCCTTCCTCTGCCTGACTCTAAAAGCAATAAGTAAAAAAAATATTTAAAGAGATAATAAAGTGAGTTATTGTTTAGTTTCTGGCAAGGATGTTGTTAATTAAATTTACTTCTCAAAATTTTAAGTTATTTCAGTCTGTAAGTGTCCAAACCATTAGGTGATTTTTTTTTCGCTCAGATCAACACATTGAGAATACACATTTTTAAAAAAATAAATTCTGTATTAATCTTATTTTCTTCCAAGTGTAGAATGTAAATTTTAGGTCAGAAAATATTTATAGCAGCAAAGAGAAGTCAGTGAGAGTTGTTGAACATTAAAATAATGTCCTAGAACCTCACTTTAAATTTCTTGAACATTTCCCATTCAACTTGGTTTTACATATAGTTAGACTCATTTCTTCGTAACCAAATAAAATTAAAATTAACCTGTTTTTAAAGAGATGTGTTAATCTTATAAAAGCTATGTAAATGACTAGTTTGACAAATGTTTTATGATCAGAGATCATCATTTGTGCGTAAGAATGTGCAAATGTATACCATAAATGTATAAGAAAACAAAATATCGATATCCTTTTATCATTGACTAGAGACCAGGTGCACTAAATTTGTGCACTGAGGGAGGTGTCCCTCAGCCCAACCTGCACCCTCTCCAATCTGGACCCCTCAGGAACTGTTGACTCCCAACTGCTCACCTGCCTGCTTGATTACCCCTAACCGCTTCTGCCTGCCAGCCTGATTGACGCCTAACTGCTCCCCTGCCATCCAAGTCACCCCTAACTGTCCTTCCCTGTCAACCTGGTCACCCCCAACTCCCCACCCCTACAGGCACAGTCACTCTCAACTGCCCTCCCATGCAGGCCTGGTTGACCTCAACTGCCCTCCCCTGTTGGTCTGGTTGCCCCTAACTGCCTTCCCCTGCTGGCCTGACCACCCACAACTACCCTCCCCTGCTGGCTATCTTGTGGTGGCTATCTTTGACCACATGGGGGTAGCCATCTTGTATGAGGATGTGAGGGTCAATTTGCATATTACCTCTTTATTATATAGGATGAGTTGTGACTATTTAATTGGCCTTCATTAAATTGGTAACTGGGACATGATAGCAATCATTAGAAAGCTTAAACAAATTGTACTAATTATAATGTTATCATTAAGATTTACTTACTTGCGGGGTATCACTAGCAGAAAACAGGTTAGTTCATGCCTTTAAACACACATTATAAAAAATTGACTAGTAATACATATGTTGCTGTGCTCTCGCATTCTCTGAGTTCATCAGAGTTTTTTTTCTTTTTCTTATTTTTTCCTTAATTTTTTAACTTAAAAAATGAAAAGTAATAAAGGCCAGAATAGAAATATGATTATATTCAGAGAAATATTCCCTGGGGCGAGCTTAAAATGAATCAATGTAGAGATTGTTGGCTAATGTTAAAATGGCTGCTCCTGAAAGAACAGGCATAATTCCCATTGCATGTAGGGTTTTCAGAGCATTTCTAATGAATTCAGAGGATCGTCCCATCCCAGAGAGAATACTTCCTTGCGCTACAGAGTGGAGTTCTCTATGTCGCTTTAGAAAGCACTGAACTTCTTTTGGTTTGTTCCTGTTCTATCTGGCACCACCTTTCGGCATATCCCGTAGGTGTCAGAGAACTCCCTGAAAAGCAGGTCGTTTTGTTGTGATCCGGAGATGGTTTTGTCTGGCTTCCAGGCCGTGTTTTAAACGCAGAACAAATGACAGAGCTAAGCACACTAGGTGAAAATTCCCCTTCCTTAGACTCATGAGAGATTTTTTTTTTTTTTACATGATTCACAGTACTCAAGTCGAACTATTACATAAAAGTCTAGTGAAATAGATTTTTTGGCCAGAACTTGGAATAGCTGGGAAGGATATCAAGAAAAGCAACTTTTATCAAAAGGCAAATGAGTTTTTGAAGCCGTTGTTAATTGGCAGCCAAGGTGTTTCATTATGAGGCTGAGTTTTTAACAGTTGTAACTTGCTGACTATGGAAACCCAGCCAGCAGAACACACTGCAGTGCAGGCGTGTCTGTGTCTCCAATCCCTCCTGGCCCCTCTCCTAACGTGTCAATAATGGGAGCCCTGTTTTAAAGCTCCAGGGTGCTGCCTAGAAAATGCTTGTGTTGGATGTTTATTCAACTTTTATTTTCGGATAAGATGGGTATCTCATAATCAAAGGGTTCAAGGTGAGATCACTTCCAAACTTCAGATGTTGTATTTTTCTATTTTGCAATCCTCTGTGTTTGGATGAAACCTCAAGAAGATCTGACTGGGAGAACTATTTTTTTCTTTGTAACCTAGAGCATAAAGCTAACCACAGGAAATATTCAAGTTATAACTACAGAGGCGATTCTTTTCGGATAAAGCCATGGGAAATGTGGTGCTTTATCTCGATGTGTGAGTGTACCTACTGCTGCTTTTTTTAAGGAGAAACACCTGAGGGCCGTACGTAGCAAGTTCCCACTGTTGATTCCCCTGCCCGACAGTAAACAGTGTGAAGGTTTCTCTCCACACATAACACAGCCAAAGCCCCCGGGAGTGTGTAGACTTTGATATTTTCCCCATTCTGACATTTTACCAGCTGGCTAAGAAAGAAAAAAAAAATTGATTTGCTCAGGGAAGCCTCAACCTGTAGGCAGCACATTCTTTTACTGGCCTATCTATAGGCATCCTTTTGATTTCTACTGTGTTCCGCATCTAGTTTTATGGTGATGTATAGAGAGAGAAAAAAAATTATTTTCTCTGGGTGATGTGATACAGGTGTTGGTTTAAATCACTTGCCAACAGTTCGCCAGCCAAATAATGTCAAGTCTTATTGAAGCCTTGATGTCGATTCTAAGAAACGAGCATGGCTGTGCCTGTCGTCCTTTCCAAACAATAGCTGGTTTTTCCCTTGCCTCGCAAGGCCTCGGCTCGGGTTTTACAGAAGGAAATAATGAAGGCTTGTGCTGCGGCATGTCACAGGGGAGGCTGGGACAAGGCTGAACTCGTGCACCCTCTGATCCTTGCTTGCCGGGCGACATGTACGCCTGCCTCTCTGACAGCCCCCGGGCTCACCGGAGACCTCTGTCACTGTGTTCGCCCTCCTGTAGGCAATGGTGGAGACAGTTAACAACCTCCTCCAGCCGCAAGCCTTGAATGCGTGGAGGGACCTGACTACGAGCGATCAGCTCCGTGCAGCCACCATGTTGCTTGACACCGTGGAGGAGAGTGCTTTCGTGCTGGCGGATAACCTTTTGAAGACTGACATCGTCCGGGAGAACACAGACAATATCCGTAAGTGGCCTTTGTTGGACAGCAGGGCCAGAGACCCGTGGGCAGCAGAAGAGGGAAAAGAATGTATCTCTGGTGGCCTAGGTATTAGGAAGAGTACTCTGTTCTTGTTCTGTCGTTAAAAGGATGTCACCTGTCATTGGCTTATAAAGGGCCCTCATAATCATGTATGTGATCCTCCTTTGAACATTCCGGTATTGGGTATATTAGCCTGGGATCCCTTACAGTGAGGTTCATTTAATTGTTTTTTGTTTTTAATCGCATATGTGTTTATATGTACATACATGCATGTATCATACCATTTAAACTTTTATCTTCCTAAGACAGGGCTTATGGGCTACTTCAGTCACAATAGGAGTGTCTCTGAATTACATACTGTAAAGAAATCATTAAGTTAGGGGTTAAAACAATTTCTGATAACTGTGTTATTGGCTCATAGGAGTATAAATCTATTTTTATTGCGTATAAGGATGTACCTGACAGTTTTATTTCAGAAAAATTGATAAAGCTGTTTCAAACTTACTAGATTTAAATATAGATCGATATTGATATAATAGTGCAGATTTTAAAGGTATTTATATCTAATTCATAAAATAAAGATAATATTTTGAAAATAAACTTTAAGTCAATGACCATGTATAAGGATTTGAGCTGGAATTTTAATTCTTTTTTACTTTATAACTGATACAACTGGATTCTTATTTGCCTGATATTAATTATTTGCTTTGATTATAAAATCGTATTTTTTAAACAAAAGATTGAACCACTACTGTAAAGCATGACAAATAGAACATTACTAATTCCAGTATTTTGATTTCAGGACTTTTTCAGTGACCTAGAAAATTACCTTTGCAGTCTTTCTCAGTAAGCGCTGATATCTCTTTGCCATTGACAGAGTTGGAAGTTGCAAGGCTGAGCACAGAAGGAAACTTGGAAGACTTAAAATTTCCAGAATCCATGGGTCATGGAAGCACCATCCAGCTTTCTGCAAATACTTTAAAACAAAATGGACGAAATGGTAGGTTAGAGTCTATTTGTTAAGCTTGACAGAATTAAACTTAACAATGCATTGCTTCTCAGCTTGGAATTTTAAATATGCTGTTCAAAACCTGATTGTCTACTCATCTGCTATCTGTCTCCTCTCATCCACTGAACTCATTCTCCTGCTCTTCCTCCTCTTTCTGTCACCTGCACCAACAATAGAGAAATCATATATGTTCTATAAAATTCTCAGATTTGGAAAGTGTTTTGTTACCGTATTTTCCGGCGTATAAGATGACCCCCTAATTTTACAGTTAAAACATAGGTTTAGGCCTATATTCGCTGTATAAGACTACCCCCCACTTCTGAGGCAACACCAATTCTTTTTTTAATAGACCGCCTCTCTGACTCTGGCCAATCTGAGCAGGCTTTTTACTAGAACACAGTGTAGCTTCGGGTACAGAACATGTATAATTTGTATGCATAAAAAGCCTGCTTGGATTGGCCAGAGTTAGAGAGGCCGTCTATTAAAAAAAGAACCGGTGTTGCCTCGGAAGTGGGGGGTAGTCTTATACAGCGAAAATAGGCCTAAACCAATGTTTTAACTGTAAAATTAGGGGGGTTGTCTTATACGCCGGAAAATACGGTATTTTTCAGTAGCAATAAAATGTTAGAAAGTTGAATATGAGGGAAATTAATGAACAACAAGTCCAGATAATTTTTTTTTTCTTGAAAGGAGTAACTGTTATTGACTTGTCAGACTGGCTTTCTAAAACTTGTAAGGAAAATTTTACTTATAATTTTAAAATTATATGGTTGTATTTTTCTTATTCACTTATTGGGGGGGGGGGGGCTGTCTATGTTTTTCTTTCACAAAAACTTCCTGTGAGGAGGTGCTTTTGGGGAATGGAACTGGTAAAAGAGATCAGTTTAGTGAACTGGGATAAGTTCACTGAATGATTTTAATTTGATTAAAATTAAATAACTTATCTCATAAAGAAAGTATATCTTAAGCCTCCCTAACATTAATTTAAAAACTTATTTTGGCCAAGGAATTAAGAACCTTTAACCTGTTACTGATAGTAAGACAACTTCAAGTCATAGTGGCTAATTCAAAGCTAAGGTTTCAGATTGAAGGGTGGATAGTTTTTTGTTTTGTTTTTTAATAGCCTATTAAATAATGTAAAAAAAAATTATATATGTTGTCAGCCAAACAAACATTTTTGTAAGTGTTGGAAATCTTATAAGACTGAAGTTATAAATCTTTATTATGTTGCTAATTTGACAATGTGAAATTTGAGGCAGCAATAAGATCTCATATAAAACAAAATCAGATTCCTGAATTAGCTTCCTAACTGGTTTCCCTCTTTTACTCTCACTCCCAAACATAACTCCTGTTGACAGAGGTTCTTCCCAAAACATAAATCTTCCCAGTTGTATTTAGAATGAAATCAAATGACTTAACCAACCCTATCACATGTTACCTGGTCTACTTCCTTCCTGCCTCATGTGCCCCACTTCACACCTGTTTTTAGTGTGCACTCTGTAGTTTAATTCTTTATTTTTATTGAGATATAATTGACATATAACATTATACTAGTTTAAGGTGTACAACATAATGATTTGATATTTGTATATATTGCAAAACAAACAGTAAAATAAATCTTGTTAACATCTATCAACACAGTTACACTTTGGTTTGTGTTGTTTTTTTCTTGAGAACTTTTAAAATTCATTCTTAGCGACTTCCAAAATAGGCAATACAGTAATATTAACCACAGTCACCATACTGTACCTTTTGCTTGCCTTTACCTACCCTCCTATTCTCTTCCCCACCACCCACCTCTGGGAACCACCCTTCAGTTTTATGAGTTGTTTTTATCCTAAGATTTTGCATATAAGTGAGGTCATACAGTATTCCTTCTCTGTTTGACTTATTTCACTTAGCATAATGCCCTCAAGATTCAGTCAAGTTGTCATAAATTACAATATTTCCTTTTCTTAATAACTTTAGTCAGGGCAATGCCTGTCTCTTGTTGGACTGTCTATTGTTTCCTTAAGAAAGGAAATATGGGGGAAGGGGAAGTTAAAAGATGGTTACTTTTATAGAGGACTGCCATAGGAAAAATTAGAGATTATCATAGGGGAAAAATAAGGTGGAAGAATGTATGGAAACAGTGACCTTAATAGAACATGATTGAATTTTAAAACAGATAAAAAGTTTGAATCTTTGTATTTATTTTTATTGCAATTGAGATATAATTTACATATATCATAATTCATATAACCTTAAGTGTTTAGCTAGATGAATTGGACAGTTGTACTTAGCCTGTGAAATATAACATACAAATCTCTTCTCTTACCCAGAAAATTCCCTGGTGCCTCTTTCCGTTCTGCTCAGCTCCTGCCTGACCTGATGAAACTATTTTCTTTTCATTACTATTTGTATAGACAAGTGTTGTCTGTTCTGAGATTTTATATAACCGAGTCATACAGTGTGGACTCTTTCCTGTCTGTATTCTCTAACTCAGTATTTTTGGGATTCAATCATGATGCTCCATGTGTCGGTGGTTTGTTCTTTATTGATGCATAGTATATTCCATTATGTTAATATACTATAATTTATTCTCCTTTTGATAGGTTGTTAGTTGTTTCCAGTTTGGTGCTATTATGAATAAAGATGCTATCAACATTCTTATGCATGTTTGCTTTGAGAATTTATGGTTTTGCTTATCTAGGAAGGGTAGATATGTACTTATTAAAAAAACTGCCAAACATTTTTCTAAATAGTTGAATGACTTTATACTTCTTCCAGCTGTGTACAGCATACAAGAATTCCAATTGTTCCCCATCCTTATGCACATTAGTGTGGACAGTCTTTTTCATTTTAGAGATACTAGTAGGTATGAAACGGTATATCGATGTGAGTGTAATTATTTCCCTCATTAATAATGATTTTGATGATTTTTCATGTCTCGTAGCCTATTATATATTATTTTTTTCTAAAATTTCTGTTTCTGTTTTGCCATTTTAGTGTGGCATTTATTCTTTTGCTGTTGATTAGCAGGCATGCTTTATGTATTCATGAGTTTTACATTTTTTTTTCTATTCTGTGGCTTGTCTATTCATTTTCTTAATGCTATATTTTGATAGACATAAAATTTTAATTTTGACAAATAAATTTATCATTTTTTTCTTTATGATTAGTGTTTTTGGGGTCCTAATCAAGTCATGTTTGCCTTCCCCATGACTAAAAAGCTATTCTACATTTTGTTCTGAAAGCTTCATGTTCGACTTTTTATGTTTATGCCTGTGATCCATCTTGGATTGATGTTTGAGTATGGAGTGAGATAGGGATTGAGGTTCATTTCTTTTAACACTTATATGCAACTCTTTCAGCATCTTTTTTATTTTCCTTTCCCAATAAATGACTTGGCACTTTGGTTAAAATGAATTCTTTAAAAAAAGAATACATTTTATTGACTTTTTTACAGAGAGGAAGGGAGAGGGATAGAGAGTTAGAAATATCAATGAGAGAGAAACATGGTCCAGCTGCATCCTGCACACCCCCCACTGGGGGTGTGCCCACAACCAAGGTATATGCCCTCCACTGGAATCGAACCTGGGACCTTTCAGTCCACAGGCCAACGCTCTATCCATTGAGCCACACCAGTCAGGGCTAAAATGTATTCTTAAGATGTTGTGAGTATATATTATACAGATTTGATTACAATCTAATTAGAATTATCTAATGTAAGTAGAACATATAGAAAGTAATCAGAGTTTCTCCCCAATTTATACTTCACATTTGCATTTATTTCAGGAGAGATCAGAGTGGCCTTTGTTTTATATAACAACTTGGGTCCTTATTTGTCCACGGAGAATGCCAGCATGAAGTTGGGAACAGAAGCTATGTCCACCAATCATTCTGTTATTGTCAATTCACCCGTCATTACAGCGGCAATAAACAAAGAATTCAGTAATAAGGTTTATTTGGCTGATCCTGTGGTATTCACTGTTAAACATATTAAGGTAAGAAAATGGCTTCTTAGGTTTAGTTGTCCACATTATCTATATTAGTTATAGCAAATAAAGAATACAAAATGTATTAATTTTTTAAATTTTTATTATATGTAGCAGTTTGAAGTCTATTATATGATAGTAGTAATTTTTTTCTGAAATAAGAAAGACTATTTCTTGAATATGTTCATTGCTTATGATAAAACATTCATAGATCTATTTATAAATGCTTCTCCATAATTACAAAGAGCTAGCAATATATACAGTTAAACTGGACATGGTTTCACATAGGCTACTATAAGTAATTATATCTTTGTGTGTAGATATAATTTTGTTATACTAAGATTGCATTGTAAATTTAACAAAGATTTCTAAAAACCATCCGCCTTTTGCAAGTTCATTTGAACAGTTTATTGTTGTTGTTGTTTTTTTACTCAGTACTATACTTTGAAATTAATTGATGTTATTCTGAAATACTGCTATTAGTATTCCTTAAATATGTATTTTTGGAAAAGTAAACTCACCCCTAGTCAGGGGGATAGATAACAACAAATGTCCTTAGAATTGCCGAGTTCCGCTTCATAGGGAAACACTGGAAGACTTCTCCACAAGAATTATAACAGAATATGAAGTTGTGTTGATATAAAGAGAATGTCTACCTAATTTATGTGAGCATAAAGTAGTTATTGGTTTTATTGATTTTATTTTTACCCTGTAGCAGTCTGAGGAAAATTTCAACCCCAACTGTTCATTTTGGAGCTATTCCAAGCGCACAATGACGGGTTATTGGTCAACTCAAGGCTGCCGTCTCCTGACAACAAATAAGACACATACTACATGCTCTTGTAACCACCTCACCAACTTTGCAGTTCTGATGGCACATGTGGAAGTTAAGGTAAGAGATATGCCATACAATAAAAATGGTTACAATCAGGACACTAACTGTAAAAAGTCTTAACTCTACGTCTCACTGCTCACTTTAGAGTTTTTCCACTTCCATAGTGATTATATTCAGAAACTCTCTTGTGTTCAACCCATATCCTCCCAGATAATTCGAATAACTTTTTATTTATTATTTTTTTTTATTTTTTATTTTTTTTTACCATCAATGTAGTTCCTAAAATCAAAGTTTGCTTGTAAAATTTTCTTTAGTGTTCCCTGTTTTTATATTGTATGAATAAATGTCAGATCTCATAAACAGGGCAAGATAGGACCCCAGGACCAAAAGCCAGTGTGGTGAGATTGGGAACTGGAATCTGGTGTGTTGAAGACTAAGGAGCTATGTGTGGGTTTAAATTCTCTTAGAATGACTCTTGGGAAAGCAGCCATTGAGGACAATGCACAATGCATAGTAATGCAAAAATCTTAGCAGATCTAACTCAATGTGAAGGGTTTTGTCCATTCAAGAAGACACCCTCCGAAAGAAACATCCATATGATTTTGTAGTTTCCAAAGTTGGGAAGATCACTAACTTGGCTGCACTGGTCTTTTCCCAGTACAGCTCTGGCTGTCCTGGTAGGTGTGGAGAGGATTTAGATTTTAGGTATACATAGGACATAAAAATACAAAGTGCTGATTAATGTGGTTATAGAGATTGATAGATGAGTTGCTAACAAAAACTATATATTTGTGAATTCTTTTCTCATCTCCCTGGTGTCAATAAATATAGAGGAAGCATGGCTGTCTAGCACATTTTGAAAAGGGAAAGCTGTAGCAAAGGTTTATCTACCTGTTGTCATTGATCTGAATAGTTTCATCCCAAATTTTCTTTGACACTGTTGAATTTAAAGATGGTACAAGTATCCCAGAGGGAGACCAAATGCAAGCCCAGTTACACCTTAAGAGTAAATTGCCTTAGCTGTGTCAGCACAGTTCAGATTTTGGTCTTTAAATGACTGCAAGCACATTTTCTCAGGGCATCACAAATTGATCTAGCTTAGCAATTTGGCAGCACTACCAAATGTTAGATTTAAACTTGGAATGTGTTAGTATGGCTCTGGGATTCTATTTCTCAGATTAGGGAATAAATTGAAACTCAGAAAAAAATATGGATCACATTTGAAATAACAACAAAATATCATTTTGCTCAGTTCATAGCATGACAACATCTACCCAATCATCTATTATACAAGAAGCCCGACTGTGACCATTATTGTGTCAACAAGAGATATAATAAATGGAAATCAATATTTTCCTTTAACAGTCAGTCACACAGTATGTAAGTCCTGGATTTCTTGTATCACATACTCTAAGTCAGTCCCATTTTGATTTCACAACTTCATTGTGATGTTTGAAAAGCAGAATGCAAGCAGATCTTACACAGAAGTCCAAAAAGCTACAATCTGACCAAACCTTCATTACACTAATGTCCAAACCAAACCACTCAGTTACTCATGCAGAGTGAGAAGCACAGTAGCCAAATGGGACAGTTATTTATGTTTGCAGTGGTCACCATCTAATTCTGCAGGTAGATCTGTAACAGAAACAAAATCATATTGGAGAATTTGGTTGACAATCTTGGAAAAAGAGCGAGAAGAGTTAGCTGAGTAATCTTGATAGTTATTGTTATTAAACTGCGGTTCCCCAATCATGGGTCTTCACTCCGGGGCTCTGCCTGTGTCCTGATTTGTCTTTATCTATCATCTGTGTGATCTCTATTGTTCATTCAGTACTTTCTTCATCCTTTAAATACCTGAGTAAAGGTATTGACAAGTTGCCTACTACACAGTAGGTTTTTAATACACACAAATTCCCCCTCCCGTCTCCCAGAGATATTTCTAGATTCCACATGACAGGGAAGCTTCTCACCCTTAAAGAACTCATGCAGAGAAGTGAAGCTGCAGTTGTAACTGTGATAAATATTATAATTGAGGTCAACGTTGTGATGTGGGGACACAGAGGAGGACCATCTATCTAAGGCAGGCCTGCTCAGAGACAGCTCTTCAAAAAAGTATGCTGCTCCAAAGGATGAGTCGGATGCATTTAGTGAGGTAACTTAAGGACAATTTGCATTGACCACATTCTTGCCACATTTTCTTCCCTTTGCCTTGGGTACACCATTCTCTCTTGTTTCTTATGTTCTTTAGTAACATCTTTCTTAGCTTCCTTTTCTGTTCCTTTTCACCCCTATGACCTCTCCTAGTTGCTCTGGTCTGAGGTGTAATTCTAGATGTAGCTTAGTCATATGGCTCTAAGCATCATCTCATGATTCCCAGAGTTCTACCTCCGCTTCTTAACTCCAGATTCATAGATTCAATTGCTGACTTGCTATGTCCACCCAGACTTCTGGTAAGTTTCATAATTCTAGAACTACATTTTTGGGATTATCTCATCTGATTCCTTTCCTTCTTAGCGATGTACTTCCAGGTGCATTGGCCCCAAACCAAATATTCTATTTTTTTCTCCCACTCATACTCACACAGTCCTAGGAGTGAATCCTGCCAGATCCAGCGTCTGACAAGTTCTCAGTATTTTCTTCACTACCACCTAGATTTCAGCCACTATCACTTCCCTATTTTTTAGTTCAGTCCCTTAGTTATCCTTTTTTTCTTCCTTGTTCCCTTAAGTTTATTCTCAGCATAATGGCCAGAAGGATACTCTTAAAATGTGAGTCAGACTGTGTCACTTCTCTGATTCATTCTCAAAAGCAATTTTATAACCCTTTAAAATGCAAACGAAGTAGTTCATACCTTTGATTCAATCTGAAGGACTTCTTAACCTCAATAAGAGCAGAATCCCAAACCCGGCTGCATTATCATCTCTTGATTTCCTTTCCTACTATTCCTCTCTTTGCTCACGTGGCTTCAGCCACACCAACCTCATCATCTTGCCATAAACATATCAGGGTGTTGTAGTTAGAACTGAAAGTCTCCCTCCTCCTACCGCCAAAGAGCCACAGGGCCAACTTTCTTGTCTCCTTCAAGTCTTTGCTCCATTATCACTTTCTCAAAGACGCTTTCCTTTTTTTTTTTTAAATATATTTTCTATTGACTTTTACAGAGAGGAAGAGAGAGGAATAGAGACTTAAAAACATCGACGAGAGAGAATCAACGATCAGCTCCCTCTAGCACAAGCCCCACTGGGGATGTGCCCACAACCAAGGTACATGCCCCTGACCGGAATCGAACCTGGGACCCTTCAGTCCGCAGGCCGACGCTCTATCCACTGAGCCAAACCGGTTTGGGCAAGACGCTTTCCCTTTCCATCCTTTATAAAATTTCATATTACAACACCCCACAAACCTAGCCTCAGGAATTCAGTGACTTTCTAGTTTATCAAGGCAGAAAATAGTTTAGACTGATTTTTCAATGTGGTACTGAGAGAGATATTATAGCGAGAACAATGTAGGAAGATTAAAAAAAAAAAAAAAAAAAAAAAAAAAAAAGGAAAGGGATGCTTCTACTCCAAGGTGGCAACTCAGTTAATAACTTCTTAACTCTTTCTACTTTTGTTGTCTAAGGAAACATATAATTGTCTTCTCTTTTAGACAGAAAAATAATCATTACAGATACTTAGGTAATGTGATTTTATACTAAAGTGAAATAGTACTTATGATATTTAAAAACCTTTCCAAAGGGTCCCAGTCCCAGGTTCAAGTCCAGTCAAAGACATGTACTTTGGTTGCAGGCTCCTCCCCAGCCTGGGCCTTGGTCAAGGTGTGTGCAGGAGGCAACCATGGATGTGTTTTTCTCACATCAGTATTTCTGTCTTTCCTTCTTTCTTCCACTCTCTCTAAAAGTCAATGGAAAAATATGCTTGAGTGAAGATTTAAAAAAACAAGTATCTTTCCATTATTGGGCACCATCTATAGGTTTGTTTGTCTGTTGTTCAGCAAATTGTTAAATATGTCTACATGGCATCAGGAGGTCCTTTATGGGAATTACTAAGTTTGATAACTTGGTTAAATTTACATTCTATGGGAACACTGACATTTTCATATTTAAGAAGTACTTGTGGAAACATATCTGCAAACTTTGTTTTAGTAATCTCAATTAAAAAAAAGTACTATGCTTCATCCTCCATCCTTTATTTGTTCCTTAGTAGTTGAGTACCATTTTGTAACAGGCAAAACTCAAGTATATAATTAGTAATATAGATAAGTAATTAGCAAAATCAGTATCTTGTGAGAAATGTCTTATTATAGCAGAGGATGGGAATACATGGGAAATAGCTTTGAGGGTCAGGGAAGGTTCCCCAGATGAAGTGATAGAACTGCTTTAAGCAAATGAGAGTGACAGGGTTGAAGTACATGAAATAAGATTGGATTTTTATGCTTTTATCATATATTTTTCAGCAAATTTTACTTAAAAAAAGAGGTAATCCAGTTTGTGGAGATTCTAAAAAATGAAGATTAGGTGAAGACTTCAACCCTCCGAAGGGCCCTTCCAGTAATAATAGGAATGAATTTTTTTTTTTTTGAATCTTCACCTGTCGATATGTTTTTTTATTTTAGAAAGAGAGAATAGAAAGAAAGAGAGAAATTGATGTGAGGGAGAACTTATCGAGCCACAGGGTCAGGGCTGAATATAATTTTTTTAATGTCTACTTACACTATTGCATTTAATTCACATCACAATAGATATCATCATCATGATTCATTTACCCCGATTATAATCTGAATGGTAGGTAGTCAGAATAAGAATAACAAATCAGGACATTGAGAATCAGGATGGATTCCTCTTTTCCTTAGGTAAATTATCTGAACTCCTCTTCCCATTAATTGTTGAGATGACACTATTAAATATTTTCTAACATTATCTCATGATTATTTTAGGAATTGAATAACAAAGTTATATTAAACCGAAGTTGGTTTGGCTCAGTGGATAGAGCGTCAATCTGTGGTCTGAAAGGTCCCAGGTTCGATTCTGGTCAAGGGCATGTATAATACATTGTTTG